CATAATACAATTGGTTGAATTTTTTTTTTCAAGTTTCCAACCCACACTTAGTATATCCAACAATATTCCCGACACATTGAAAAATCTCTCATTTCTTCCTCCTTAAGCTAGTTGACAACAACAGTACATACACCCTAATTTGACACAACCACGATTTCACCTTTCCATTCATTTCATTTCGTAATTCATCATCATATTCATGGAAAACGCATATAATCATTTAGTTTAGTGGCATTCAGAATATTTGGTCTATCAGCATTCAACTGAAGTATCAGTTCTTTAACAAAAAGAGCATGAATACAAAAGATTAACTGAAAAGGTGGAACATAACAAAATTGGCGAAATTTCACAAAATTAAACATCGAGTATATATTTATATCAAAACGCCCAACTTGATTTCAATTTTATTTACAAATAGATAGTAAGCATGACACTATTCTTTTATTTAATTGTAATATTAAGATTAAAGACAGTGATAGTAATGTGCATCCGTGTACTAAGAACTCTTGAAAGCTAATACTTGTAACACATTAAAATACTAATTACTGCTAATGTAAAAGTAGCCTCAATGAATTACTGCAGAGGTAAAAGAAGCCATGCGAACGTAACCGCCCTCTGTTCTTCTCCTCCTCCTTTCATCTTCTTCCTCTTGCTTCTTCTCTTCTTTCTGAATCTGCTTCTTATCTTCAATGAACTTCTTTATTTTCCAGTTAAACTCCTCCGTCCTCTGCCGCTCTTCGTCTTCCTTCTCCTTCCTCCGCCTCTCCCTCTCCCTCTCCACCCTTTCATTCTCATACTCTTTCTTCTGCTTCATCTTGTTTTTCACAATAAATTCCTGTATTTTCCGGTTGAACTCCTCGTCGTCCAACACCTCCACGGACCCCAACCGTCTCGCCGCCTCTTCCCCGCCGAAGCTCTTAGTTTTCCGGTAAATATCCGTCTCCGATCGCCGTATAACTCTTTTAGTACTACTTCTCTTCTTCTTAAACCTCTCCGACTGTGTTCTCATGTACCGCTTCTCCTTCTCCACCAATGCAGCGTCAGCACTCTCTATAGTAATTGCAGGAACCGGAGGGACGTAACGACTTTCCGTTTCTGTAACCGTTTCGCGGCGTTCAACCGACGGCAATGGCACCACTGCATTTTTAGACTCCTCATCTGCCTTCGACTCTGTTTCTGGAAAAGACGGCGTCTTCTCTGTTTCTGAACACACACCGCCGTTATCTCCGCCATTGACGACGACGCTCCGGCAATACACTCTGTTGACGGCGAACTCCTCGTATACATCCGGTGATCGGGCGGATTCTTCGTCGTGTTGGCAGGCCATAGCGTAAATGGCGGCGAGGAGCGCCATGATGAGCGAGAAAACGTAAAACTGGTTGTCAAAGACGGCGTGAACTTGGCGTGAAATGTCGGAGAGTTGGGAGGCGGACGGAAGAGAACGGGAGAGGGCGAAGATGAGAGGAGAGACGGCGGCGCACGCCGTCAGAACAGATTTGAACTTCTGGTGACGGCGGTACTTACGCATGGCAATGGCTTTCTCGGCCGCCACGTAATCGAACGCCGCTTTGTATGTATCCATGTTTTGGAGAGAAAAAAATGAAATGATCTAGGCGATGGCGACGGTGGTTGTGCGTTTTGTGTGAACGCTCGACGAAGAAGACCGCTGTGGCGATATGAGAGGGAAGAGCATGAAGAGGGTGTATTTATAGAGGGTTTGGGTAGCTTGAGAGATAATTTAGGCAAGGAATTACGGACAGAGAAAATGGAAAATCTTCTGGGAAATATTAGCGGGGAAGGGAAAGTATGAGAGAATCTTGCGTCTTGAATTTTCGAGAGACCGATTTGTCGCCCATTTTATAGGTAGAGCTCGGAATATCATAGTCCTGAGTTTATAATTTCTTTAATTTTTTTTTAACAAATAATATTATCAACACTAACGGGAGAAGATGAGCTTAGCCTCAAAATTATCTAGTAATAATGTAACTCAAATTCGCCTATAGCAAAAATCGAACCTAAAATCTCTCATTTACATTTGAATATTAGACCTAAAATCTCTCACTCCAATAGAGTCGTGAGCCAACCGTGACTGGACCCCGCAGAGGACACATGATCCTAATCCAATAAGACAATAAGACAAAAATCAAAGTATGAGAGAAGGGGAGAAGGGGAGGAAAGGGGATAAAAATAGAAGGGGAAAAAATCATACTCCTAGTAAGTGATAGCAATAGCTCCGACGTGACGTTTATTGATGTTTTAAATAAATTTTAAGTCAAATTTTTCTTTGTTAAACAAATAATTATGTGATTCTTCCCTTCCGATAATGTAATGTAATGTAGTCTAATAATTGCTATTAATTTCCCTCCGATGATGAGATGCATGCATAGAAATAATTCTCGTTATCAAAAATTTAGGATGAAAGGGACTCTTTGACGAGAATTTTTTTTGTGTCGAGAAAACAGCATTTCTCACTTTTAAATGAAGACAAATATCATCACACGTAGTACTGAATGGTCACTTTTGTTTGTTTTTATATACATTAAATTCATTTAAATCATGCGAAAAGAGATTAAAGATAGATGGTGGAGCACACTATTCAAAATTAACTTATTACTTGAGAAAAACTTTACAATTGAATGTGTTATATAACTCATAACTATTCAAAATAACAATATAAAATCCCTAATTAAATCTAACTCAAAATAATTTTTCTAATTAAATCAAATCTCTAAAATACTTTCCCTTTTATATTTTCCTTACACATATTTTTATATGTGCATCCTCAATTAGATAATCTTCAACCATATTCTTTCTAAACACAACAATAAAGAGGCAAGCGAACTGGTTCATGAGAACTCGGTTGAAGTTGTGAGCTTTTGATCAAAAGCCACGGGACACACATCAACAAGCATGCATCCCTAACAAGATGCATGGTTTTCTATCTTTTTTCTGAAACTTTTCGTGATTACATATTTTGCCACATGAACTTTCACCAAAAGCACCTAAATTAATTGAAAAGACACACCCCGTTGCAACGGCTTCGATGAATCCTCTTGCAATGGCTCGATCAAGAAGTCTCGATGGCTTTAAGACCCAACAAATAACCTGTTTCGGAGAGATGCTTCTATCCTCTAAGAAGGGTGTCCATCGAGTTGCTTGATATTCACCAGTAAATTAGTGTGCATTTTAACATTTAGGCCCTCTACTGGGACCCTTTCATAGGAGAGGGCAGGGATATGATTGAGATTAAAAATACAAGATTTAAAATAGTTATAGAAATTAAATGTAACGGCTAAAACACTTGTAATATTGAATGATATATAGGATTGAAACCATACCCAAAAAACAAATATATTAATCTTTTGTTCAACCTTTTCCCTCTCATGATGATCCCTACAATTTTTTTTTTTGGATATGGATTCTCTCCCCTCCTATTTACCCTCCTTTCATATTGAACGCTCAAGATTAAGTCACATCATCATCTTGTTTGACCTTCTTTGTAGAGAGAGAAAGCAGAAAAGGAAACTAAGAGAGGAGGGGAAGGGAAAAGAGGGGTGAGAATCCAACTCCCAATTTTTAGTGCGGCCATCACATAGTAATTTATCCACACATCATAACATATCACATAATTACCCACTGCTATTACTAATCCACATGTTACAATATAAGTGGTGGACAACATGATTGATGAACCTAAGAGCATATCATTCTAATAAACGATATACATCATGACAAGATTGATAACTATCAAGTGATCGACTATCAGAAGAAAAAAAATTCAGATAATCCACGCATAGTCCTGCTGGCACTCTCCACATTTGCAGTCGTAACTATACAATGTTTGGACTGGCTTAAGTTGCAGAAAATCAATGCAGTCGAAATATACGAACATCGCCAAAACAATGACAAACAAGATTTGAATTCGACCAGATGCAGCCGAATTCGTTGTGAAATCCTCTGTTGATGTTTATCATGTTGAAGATGGACTTCAAAGACATGTTCAAGCTGATCTAATCTACATTGTTTGGTCTATAATGTATGATTCGTACTCAAATTCTATGTATGATTTTGTTTGTGACTTGTGAGATGCAGAGGTGGCAATGGTGGAAGCAAGAATCTGCCAAGGGCGTAGCGAAACATGGTCAGGGTTTTGCGCAAACACCGGAAACTGCAACAGTCAATGCGGAAACTGCAACAGTCAATGCAGAAACTGGGAAGGTGCTTTGCACGGAGCTTGTCACGCTCAATTCCCAGGAGTTGCTTGCTTCTGCTACTTCAGATGTTGATTCACGATCAACGAACAGCAGCAGGCAGCAGTATCTTCAACTTCAAGCTTCGACATGTATCCAGTTATATGAATGTAAACAAAAGCTGCAAAGCAAGCCTAGTACTACTTACTAAATAATAGTACTGCTGCAGAACTACCTCTACTACTTACACCATCTTACCGATGAATCCGATAAACAGAGGGTCATCAAAACAACTCCGCAGTCAGACGAGAATGTTCATCAACGGTCCTAACTCTACTTCTCTAATACGATTAACTGCACTTCTCAAAAACTGCAGCCAAGTTTATTAGACAAAATATCGACAAACATATGTATCGCATGTAAGCAACTGCAAGCTCGAATTATTAGCTGTATGAAGAATATCGACCACATATTCGCATTACAAAAAAGTGCAGCAAACCGAACTGGAGCAAATATTAAAAATCTTAATCATCAATGTGCACATCACTTGCTAGTTACATTTTCTCAACTAAAGTCACCCAACAGGGTAACTGGCATTAGCTTGGCTTCATATCTTTACTACAAGCGATATTTTAAACTACTTTACAAGAAGTGCAACGGAAGAGATCTCCTTTGTGACCGAAAGGTCACTGATTCGAGTCATAAAAATAGTCTCTTTGCAAAACAAGGATAATCATGAATACAGTATACTACAGATGTCCCTCCCCGACCCTCGCTAAGCAGGAAGCTTTGGTGGCTTGGGGTCGCAACTCAAACTAACGCACAATTTGATGAATCATTTTCTCAACATTACACAGCTCCACAATGTAATTATGTAAATTAAATTAGCAAAAAAAAAGAAGAGGAGACAGATATTAACGTAATAAACACAGATTAGGCATTGAAATCTACTCAATTTTCACAAAAACACATGCTTTCCATCTTCAATTTTCATGCTTTACCTAAAATCTTACACTGAGTAAGCAAAGCATTGGCTTTTTCTATTTCTTCTTGCCGCCTTTACCGGCGGCGGCTTTGCGGCGGGAGGGCAGAATAATCTCTCCCTTGAGGACAGGAATCTCCATGATCTGGGTGAGCTCGCCGTACTTCTTCCTGAACTTCTCGACCTGGTCGTCGTCGACGAGCATGCCTGACCGGTTTCCGAGGTAGAAGGGGTGGTTGCCCGACCACACGTCCACCACGTACTCCTTCTGCGTCCCACCCGTCGTCATCACCAGCTCCCCCTTGCAATACACCTTAGCGTCCTCGTGGAACTGCGGGTGTATCTCCTTCTTCCTGCACGTCACCACAGAGCGGCAATTCCCCGCCGACGACCCACCGCCAACGCAGACCTGGAAAAGACCGAAATAATCAATTAACAAATTCATTTGGTAATATAAGAAGAGATATATAAGAGGGTAATTGGGTAAATTTACCTTCTTGGGAGGGAGGAGCGTGGGGCAGGGTGTTCCATGGAGGAATGAGGTGGTTAGATTGAGCGCCATTTCTGTGTGTTCGACAAACGACGGAGAAGATGAGGTTTTATGTGGTTCTGTCATCCAAATTTACTGAATTGCCCCTAAATGGTTTGGGCTTGGTTTTGGACTAAATTTTAGGCTACAAAATTAACTGGGCCGTTCGGCAAACAAAAAAGTTCAACTGGACTGAAGCCCAATTAGAGAGATTGAAGGCGGTGGGATCTGATCTTACGACTAAGAGACAAAAATTGGAAAAAACATCCTACCAAAGGCGACCTTCTGTATTTTGGTCTCACTCGATGATCTTGGTCGAACCATGTAGTGCGAGCGTTGTGACCTGAAGAACTTTCTCGTTTAAAAGATGCCAAGGAGGATGGAGACTTGAAACAATATAATTTTCTTGGTTCATTTCTCATTCGACCTATGAACATGCGTTCGTTCCTTATATATAAACCGACAGTCGAGGGTGTCATTAGTTTGCTTACTAGTACAATGGATCCCCTAGCAGCAAGAGCGACAATGTCAGAACTACAAGGCCTAAGAAAGTTCCTCTGAAGACTGCCATTAATAATTAAAGTCCAAGGCTTTGAGTGTATGGTTTACTCTCACTGCATGGGTATACGGTGCACTCCCACCTACTACTGTGGGTAAAGAGCTGTTTACATTGTGGAACTTCTTGTCTCTGGTTTCACCTGCTCCAAGGAAGAATATTTCTCTAACATTTGATTTTTCTCCACTTTTGGCTGTAGAGAGTTTGCATCACTTTAATCAATCAATATGTAATATTGCCTTAAATTGGGTAAAATCGCATTTTAGGCATACGTACAAAGTTTCCTCACTGTTTCTTACGCTGGGCAAAATCCCAACGCGGTTTAAATATTGGGTTTAGGGTATGGATGAGGGTGACCTATGAAAATGCCATTAGCAGCTAATCAGACGAAAACTGGAAATAGTTTCGCAGAAGATGAGCAAGATGACTAGATGACAGCACAACTTCTTGAAATGGCATATAAGATTGATACGAATATTGGTTTCATATTTGTGATTTCTGCAGGTAAGTGTGATTGATTCAATCACCATGATTAAGGTTCGACTGCTATATACAGAAAACCTACGTTTGGGCAGTATCTTCTGCCAGCTGCCATTGCGAGGACATCGAACAACCCACACGGTAACTCGTGTGAACACGAGCACTTAAAAGTGAAAGGCTCCATTTTAAGATGCTAGCAAGAAAAATAATGATGCAGAACAATTGGCCAAATGGATTGAAAAGGAAATGGACTGTTGGAAGGCAAAAGGATGCAGTGGGAATATGTAAATTTGGTGTTCGTACTCCGATTTAGGCCCATGATACTTTTTTGCAAAGGGAACGACACCACGGTTCAAACTCACTATTTTGCTATGACATATCATGAATTTTGGCTATTCGAGGACATTTTAGCCTTCCAAATGTAGATTTAAATGTGTAGTACGTGTGTTATATGTGTAAAGTATATTGGAGTTTTAAAAATGTGCAAATTTAGGAGTCTCATGCATCTATGTGTGAGAGCAAGAGGGTTACCCGAGGTTAGAGATAAGATAAAAAAAAAACTCCAAAATCTAAGAACAATACAGCTCCAATTATTTCCTCATATTATAGCATCTCTTTTGTATGACATAGTTAACAATGGAGCCTGATAAACATAATTCACAGTGGAGCCTGATAAACTGCATCATGTTTATAACTATATATATATATATATATATATATATAGTTACTCCACATGAACAGTAAGTTTCATTCCATTTTCACAGTAGGGAGACGGATAAGGTGCGAAGTAGATTGTGCCCTTCTCCAATACCGCATGATCGTTTCCTGACGTGTATAGTTTTATCACGCCGGCATATAACTCACACTTGTCGAACAAATATTTGTCCCGTACAGCAGCTACCATGAGAAGGGGATCTTTATATTCGAAAACTGTTTTCAAAATACAATATTGAATTAGTAAACAAACCAGCTGCTAATCAAATATAAAAATATTTGAGGAATCGGATGCATGAACACGAATTGAAAAGAAAACCAAAGTGTTAGTCAGTCATTTTAATTACCCAAAACATCTCCAGCCTTGAACTTCTTGTCCTCAGTCCACTGGGTTAAGTTAGCATCAGGGCTCCATCTTTTCTCATCCCCCACTATATATTCTTTTCCATCAACTTCTTCGCATCGGAGCAGCAAACAACCGACAAAAAGGCCGATTCCAATCACCAAAATTTTGTTCATTCCAACTGCCATCTTTGATCGATCCACAGACAAACTATATATATAACCTTGACCTTTCTCTATCAACTCCAAATACAAAACAATATATATATACAATATTGAGCCTATTACGCATTCAATTCGTACGTTTTGATTTACTTCTCCAAATGCCATATGATCGATATATATTTCCATAACTAATTATCACATTTATTGAATACTTATTGAAAATATATATTCCTTATTCTTCTATGCTTGTGTATTTCAACTCATAATCAGGTCAAGTTCTGATGATGATTTTGTATCATTTTAGAGGTATATCATTGAATGGGTGTATAATCCATCGAAAATTTTGTAATGATTTTATACCATTTTGAGTCAAATACTTAACTGTTGCCAATGTGGGAATTGGTTTCCCGTGAGACACCGTGTGGTGTCACTAGTGAGAGGGCATTTTGGAGAAGAGAGTCTCTTTATCGACAATTGTGGTGTTTCCTAGAAGTTCATTTAGTTTTTCATTTTTTAGTTTTAGGACATGAATGTCGGTTTGGATTGCTTAGATGATATCGGTTTATATGAAGCATGTTACGTACATTATGTTGTGTACTTGGCACAAAGTTTTTATTATTTATTTTTTCATATACATTGCGCGGCAAGTTTTAAAATTTCATCAATGAGAAAGGTTTTTGCGCGACAAGGTGTATTTGAACGCCCAAAATTTCATCGTGCAAGAGTTTATTTTTTACTACTGATCATTTCACCATCAAGAATTTAAACACGTAAAAAGTTGTCCTTTGAGAACGAACAAAGAAGCATATTTTGTTTTTTTTTTAAACAAGAATATGTATGTTCCTGGGAAAGGCATCAACCATGAAGAAAGAAGGTACAAATGATTAAGATAAGTGTTTTACTTTGCGTTTATCTAGAACCTTTGCAGCATTAAAGCTAAAAGTTTAACCCCAGAAGAAATTAAAAAGGTCAAATTAAGAAAGTGGTCTCTTATTAGTTTAAGCATAAACATAAACTTAATTTAGCTAGTTAATTACTTAATTAACGCGACGACAATTCTTTCGGACTTGTCCCTCGAACCCAGTAAGAGGACTAATGTTCCCCATCTTAACCATGGACTTAGCAAACTGCTGAAAGAATAAGCTCTCATTAGCTGCATAGGTTTTCACCAGCTCAGCTGCCTGCCTTCTGTTCCCAGTAAGAAGTACTTGGTCTGAAGGGAGAAGTCCATGTCCCCCAAGTATAAGCTTGAAGTAGCTGTTGTCGAACCTTGTAGGGGAAACAAAGTCCAAGGGAGCAGGTGTGCTGTCGCCACCTCTTCTTGGGCAAACTGATTTCCGAGTCTGCCTGACGAACGAACACTTAGCGAACCCAATTGTATGCCCTCCTGCATTGATATTGTTCGTAACAAAAAAAACCATAAATGTTCAACTTGAATTTGTACCGCGTTTAGGCCATTGTGGTTCGTGAAACATAGTTTTACTCTACTAATAATAGTGTAACATCCTAACAAAAACTTAAAATTTTTCACTCTTTCATATCCATCTTTCACTTTGGCCCTCGACTTTCATATCATCTTTAGTTTTGAATATGTGTGCCTCATCGTCAAATTCATCAAATTTCTAACTTTTCCCACTGGAATAGACAAAAATCACCCTCATTTTGCTGGAAATTTTTAACCCATTTGACAACATGGGACAAATTGGCACGCTTCAAAATATTAGAAAGCTCAAAACTAACTTGAAAGTCGAGGGAAAATCAGAAGAACGTACCAAGTTTAAAGGATCCCTTGCAAATAATGTGATAACAAAGGAGAAAATTCAGTAATTATTGGGTACCTGAGAGGGCAACAAGGTCAGTTTCGTCAAGACCCTGACGTTCGAAGGCGGTTATTAGGGCTGAGAGATTGGGTAGTGGTGCTGGAATGTCTCTGTTTGAGCTTTCAAAACTTGCAGTTTTGGAGTCCCTTCTTCCTAGTGGCAACACCCAGTCAGGTCCACCGCTCTGTTCCATTGCACCACATACACCAACCAAGTTGATCACTTATTAGTAAATTAATCAAGTAATAGTTTGGGCTATGTAACATACGTTTGTTCTTCTATTTATAAACCGACATTTGAGGGTGTAATTAGTTTGCTTACTAGTACAGTGGATCCCCTAGCAGCAAGAGCAACAATGTCAGCACATGACACAGTCAGGGGACATGCTTCTTCTAGCTTGGCCTTCATCTCGTCGATTACTTCAAATCCTCTCAGAGAATTCACGTTTGGTTCTGTCCCCTTTTCGCTCATTATAGTCGTGCTGTTGTCTAGTAGCACCGAGGCGTCACAGCCCTGTCATCCAATCATATCATATATTTAGCCTTAGCCATGCATATTTTATTATACATTTCAAAGTAAGTTTTGATCAAAACGAACCTGAGCAAAGCAATCATGGAAGTGAAGCCTTATCAGAAAGGCTGCCACCCGGGGATTCTTCTCGATGGCCCGCTGTAATACGGAGATGACAATGTCGTTAACCTGAGGGCACGACGATTGATAGAATTGTGGGAAAAGATCGTCAGTCTGAGACCCACCCGACCCAAAGTTGAAACCATCCAGGTGAGGGGCGGAGAGCGTGGCTGATACCACCAGTGTCACAACTACAAGACCTAACAATGTTCCTCTGAAGACTGCCATTGATAATTCAAGTCCAAGGCTTTGAGTGTATGGTTTACTCTCAGTGCATGGTGACTAGTGGAACCACTCCCACCTACTGCTGTGGAAAAAGAGCTGTTCACATTGTCTGTCTCTGGAGTCACCTGCTCCAGGGAAGAATATTTCTCTGACATTTTATTTTTCTCCACTT